ACTAGTTTTTGATCACCTTGAACCCGACCATTTTTTACTATTTAAGTAGAAGAAAAGGCATTTCTATATTCAAATATGTTCTGTTAGCCTTTAATGAATACAAGAACTTTGCCAGGAGGTTAAATGGAAGTGTTGAAAGCTTTGCGATAGCCTGCAGTGTAAGCGTCTTATTAGGGCAAGTTAACGCTAAGAAGGGCGCGATGTTTGATCTGGAGTAAGAGTCGACGGTAGGGAGAAGGGGGGTGGGAAGGGGCGTGAAGACGCGTAACATTTACCCTCTTACCGCAGCCCCTCTCCTTATTTCTGACCGTCCCTTACCCCCATACTACAAATTTCTTTCTTTTGCCAGCCTTCCGCTGCTATTAAAATCAAAGATGGCGCCCAAATTACGTCTGCTCTGCAGGCTAGTTTTGCGACAAAGTTCACTGAATACTGCATCTGTTCATAATAAGGAGCTTTAGCAAAGAGACTTTTCAAGAGGGCGACGGCGCCCCGAATTGAATTTTATTTCCTTTAGAGGTCGTACATTTGGCGCGAAGTCGTCTAGGCTCGGCGCCGACCTCAAAAGCCTTGTTTTCACGGTGTGAAGAAAACGTGAATAGATACGAGGTTTTTGTCCGCATATACTCGTTTTCTTTTTATCTGGCCTTTTAGTTTTCACAACTTAAGAGAATACTTTCTCGTGATTTACTTGGTAGCTAATAACATGAAACGCATTTTATTCATCGTATTTTAAAAGGATAGCTGTAGACTCAGACTGAATATGGCGGCATCTGATGATCAAGTGCAAAAATCAAAGTGAGTAAAATTACTTGGCCAAGGTTTTAGCTGCTATGATTCCACTCTGTTACTACATAACAGTGGTTGTCAGAAATAAAATCCATGACTTCATTTGTAATTAAACTCAAAACAGAAACTGGTCTTAGAAAACGTTGAATCATATCGCTGAATCTGCAAGGGTAACTTGTTCGTCTCAGCAGCACACACAGTCCCTCTAAACCATCACAATTGCTTCTCTGTTCACAATGGAACACTGCAGGAATATGTAAGGCATCTACAAGGCGAGGAAGGCTGCCTTTTCAACTCGAAATTCGACCTTGCATTCAGCTGAATTCATCAGCGTTTTCTAGATCGAAAACATTATACGATTGATAGCCGAAATCTGGATTTTTTTTAACGATAACAATCGTATAGTGGAACAAATTCTTCATCCGAAATGTTTTTGTCTGCATAGCTAAGCAAAAGTATCTCTCGACAAGTCTTAGATTTGTTCATTGTTAAAGAACTCGGCAAGATGCATATTCCGTCGGAAAATTGAAGGATGCTAAAGGTTTATATTTTGGCGGGAACAACGCCGTCCTCGCCCCAGTCTCTTTCGTCCACCGACTTCGCCGTCGCTGTGAAAACTCTCGGTGCTAAAGGTCCCTAATATTGCCTAGGATGTAAATCTTACGGGAAAATTTTTTGAGAAACCTTTATCATATAAATTGTATCAACCTATAGCTATCGCCTGCTTCCTAAACTACCTCTTGTCAACACAGTTGGTGCTCAATAAAACCTTATTCGTAGCGAACCGTGATTTAACGAAATATAAGGCTTAAGACTGATTTTCACCAGCGACGCAAGCACAAGCGCAAGAACAAACGCAAGCATAAGGTAGTTATGCCAAGTGAAAACGAACGTCGAAAAAGATAAGCACAAGTAACATAGCACAACATGTTTACTAGTTACAAGGCTCCGTTGATCTCAACTCAGCCAAGATATATGGCGGCAGACAGTTTAAAGCGTTGAGTTCTGTTGTTTCTTCCACTCATGCGACGAGGAAAGCGAAAGTGGTTACCAAACAGGGGAAGAATAAAACGCTTTGGAGTAAGAAATATCTTTAAAGAAAGGAGAAGCCAAGGTGATTTTCCTTGCCAGCTTGAGTCCATGCCTGTGCTTTTTTTGTTTGTTTTTCCCTTTTGAAATCTTCACACTCACTTTGCTCTTAAGTCTAGAGCGACGCCATTTTTTTGGAATGATCAGATGTGGGGGAAACTAGAGAGGGTGCCATAATTGGCTAGACATAGTCAAATGTAGTAGATATCGTTGTGATTGTGCGGCATTTTGTTTTCACTCGGAATAAGCGAATGCAAGCACATGCATATGCACAGGAAAAAGGACAATTTTGATCTTTGTGCTTGTGCTTTCGCTTGTTTTTATGCGAGTGTCGAGGCCGTTTTCATGGTGAAATAAGCTGTTATGCTTGCGTTTGTGCTTGCGTCGCTAGTGAAAGCCAGGCTTTATCGGCGGAATACCCTCAACAAACAACAACAAGGCACCCATTTTTCGGTGATGTATTTTGTAAGTTCAGTTATGTGTTTGTAGTAAGATATTTCTTTTACAGAACTTTCCATGAGAAAAATTTGCCGTTTTCTTTAATTTAACCCTCTGGGTTCCTCGATAGCTCTCGTAGAAAATTGAGTCGTGCTTCTTCGATGAAACTCGAACGGAAAAGTTTTTTTTAAAGAGTAAATGTCTTTGAATTGTCTGCCTGCAAAATAAATTGACCTTATTTGCAAATTTGACTACCAGAAATTTAGGCAGCACTGAAAGAAACAAACCAAATAAAATGTAAACGCATGACTTTTCCCACAATTATTATCAGTTGACTGAATTCGTGAAACTTTTTCAGTTAGAGATTGTGAAAAAACTTACAAACTTGACCGGCAAAAGAACTCAGATTTGCAGCTACTTATATTAAGGAAAAATGCAGGAACATAAATAGACTACCATTTTGAATTAAGAACAGTTGCACCAAATGTTATGATCTTTGTTGTTCGTAATATGTTCTTAATATGTTCTTAATATTTTGTCACCTGTGACCACGGGAACTGGGACCGACGCAATCTTTACTTCCGGTGTTCCCAGTCCTCTACAGGATAAATGATGCAGAGACACTTAGCAGATAAAAGTCTAATAAAACATGCGAGGCTTTGCCAATATTCCTCTTGGTTCGTGAGAAACTTTCTTTAGGACTAATTAGAACTTGGACTGTAGAAATATTGCGGTTGTTGTATAGCGCCGGGAAGTCACAAGGACAATATTCCAAATTTCGTAAAAGCCTCATACCATCTGTTGCTATGATATCTGGCGAATATTCTGGCGAAGTTTCATCAAAATCTGACAAATCTACATACCCTGTTAATTCGTTTGTATAAAGGTCTCTCGCGTAAAAACAAACCTCGAGTTTTCGACCTCCAAAGAAATTGATAGTTATCGCACTTCATTTTAAAAGCAGGTGCCGAAGCAGACATGCCGCCGACCAATGAAACGCAACATTGAACCCCCTATTGAATCACGCGGCATAACTGTTTTAATCCGAGCCCTGTTCATGTAGAGTCTTAAAAGAGCTGCTTGGACGTTGCGTCCATACATTTGGTGTCTCGTTTAGCCCGGAGAGAAGGGGTGTCCAACTTCCCTTCGGGAGGCAGAGTTTTCTAACCCACCCCCACTTCCTTAGCTGGGAGAGGACGATTCGCAATAATGCAAATTCAAGGATTGATTTTCCAATTTTTCAATGATGAAATAATGCACTTTCAACAGGAGAGCTAAGGGGCAACTGTTTTCGATTTTACTTTTGCTGTAGCGTTTTTGAAATTTTGTAGTGATGTTCACAAACTTTTGGGGAGGTGCAAAACAAACCTTTTTTTTGGAATAATATTTTGATATAATATTTTAATCTATTCCACTCCCTATAGGTTATAATTAGCATTTTTATATTAACTTCAAGAAAAGTTGGCAATCAAAATAGGTCTCAAAATTTTAATCAGTGGCCACTGTCCTCTGAGAAAAGACAATCGAACCATTTTGTGTTATTTACTTCTAAAATCTCGTGCCGGATTTCCGTATAAGGGTCTCACACACCCATAGAAGCAACTGCAGAACTTTCATAACTACTTAAATCTCTCGTTCCCTAAAATGGCTAGATGGAAAATAATCCTTTTCTGCTTTCCTCCTTGGATAAGGAGGAAAAAAAGAGTACCCACGGAAAACGACGACGAAGAAGGTAAATAAAGCACCCGATTTTAGCACGATTACATTTTCTAAAATGCCAGAGAACAATACTTACAGGAACAGCTATACATTGGCAACTCAATTTTTATTTTTTTATTTTTTTTTATTTGTTGCTAGTTACTTTCCCACAAAACTGAAATCACTACACCTCTATCGATAGATGAGGATATCCTAAATGCATTAACTTAACTTTAACTCAAGAGGACCGAGCTGAACACCTGAACAATCCCCTCCTTACCGAATTTCAACAAAATGAGATAAGGCAAAAGATGGTTCATAGAATTAACTAGTTATTTATGTAGTTAGCTTAAGGATACTAGTATTTGGGTGCTACTCTGTAAATTGGAAGCTAAAAAAAGTTTATATGTTATGTATTCATGTGCTGATATGAGAATCTACCAATGATTTTTAAGCAAAGTCCACAATGCAATGTATTTGCCATCGGGCTTTGTGTATATGACCACCGCACTTAGAGTAGATTGGTCGTATCCTTCGGCCATTTCTTGGCCATATTATTTAACCATGTTCTTCCAAAATATCACCCGCCTAGAAAACATGCTTAGCTGCATTCTAAACATCGACTGAAAACTACAACTTCAAACGTAACTACTTGTCCAGCCCAAAGTGAGATTTAGCGGAGGTATGCTGCAAATATTTGTAAACAATAAAAGAGCCATCTGCCTCTGGTTTATAGAGAATTATGACACAATTATGAAACTGAACTAAGGCTATTGAGGTGCTGTATGCTTTAATACGAAAGCCATAACAGATTGTCTCTCTTTCCAACGTGGCTTTGACACTTATTATTAATTGTCAAATCTCATGCAGCTATTTACGATGCCAGGTAAAACTTGTGTTGCTTTTTAACTCCTTTCAGTCTCCAAAAGTGAATTTCTTAATCTCCTCGACAATGTTGGGAGTGAAGCATTTGAACCATTTACATTGCGGCTAAGAGCCTTCAGAAGGTCCTCGACTCTAACGTCCTAGAAAAACATAGTTAAATCACACCATAGGTCAAATTTGATTGTCTGATTGATCTAAATACATTGTAAATACCTTCTCTTAAGTATCTGAAGAACATTGTACATCATATGCCACTTAATTGTGACTCTAAACTTTCGCCACGTGGTGGTTACGAATGCTAAATCAGCAATGCAATTAGACTCTTAGAAGTGCAACTCGTAAATGGCAAAAAATTCTAGTATCTGCTAAATCTATTTGGTGCCCTTAAATATCATAAAACAACTAATGACCTCTAAAGTTCAAAGTTTCAATATAAAAAAGAAAGACGCAGTACACGAAGCCAAAGTTTCCTGTCCACATTTCCATATTATGCTGTATTACCTCACTTCCACTGCACACGACTGATTAGATCACTTCTTTTGTACTTTTCAGAGGGTTTCTCCCTTAAATATGAAAAAAAAAACATCATATCTGTTAGTGATGGTGATTTGTTCAATTTTCTGCTAATTCACTCTCTCTCTCTCTTTCTTACTTTGCAGAATTAAAATTTCCTGTGCTTTGTACGGATGGTTAGCCATGATTCAGAAGGAGTCGGCAAAGACACTGTGAGGTAATTGTTAAGTGATTTTTCAGAGACATAATGGATGGCATCCTTTTCTTATGAATTATCCTGTTCAAAGTATTGTTCGTTCAACAATCTTAGTTCTATTAACGCAATGTATCTATTGATCAATCATTCCACTGGCAATGATGAGAATCTAATTTTCTGGAAGAAATGATACCAGCATGTTCATGAGCGGTGAGAGCTGTTGTTTCAATGACCAAGACATTCAAATAAAATACTAAAACCAAGTTTTGTGTCTGTTAGACCGATAGTTTAGAGGGAAAAAGTAAAATCGATATATTTTTATTGTGATGCTACTTCAGTCTCTGTAATATCTACAAAGTCTCTTGAGGTACCTCGTGTGGTGAACAAGACAAAATAATCAAAAGACGAAGCTACACGAATAGTGGACGTTTCCTCAAAAACATAGCAGCGTATTACCAAATTTTAATATTTGTTATTGACACGTTATTATAATTTTTAAAACCCTCGAAACGAAACTTACAGAACTACCAAAATATAAAGTCTATATTTGAGGATTCTGGTAATTCTTCGAACCGAACTTATTTTTCATCGATATAAGTCCTTGATTTGTAACAGTTGTGAAATTTGAAATTGACCAACTTAGACTTTGGCTTTCTTTAGATAAAATATATCGCAAATAAATGGAACAGCCTAAGATCATTACTTGTGGAAACTTTGCCTATGATTTTAAATGATTTCGCTGCCATTGTTAACCAAAATAGAACGCTTCAAGCGTAATTGATGATATACTTCAAGAATTATTTGCATTGTGGGTAAATACTCTTTTCTTTCAGATCAAAATGCTGCCGATTAAGTTTTCCTCTAGAATCCCAAAGAACCAAAGCAAATAACCAGCGTTTTTAACTTCAAATTGTTTGGCGAGATACTGAAAACTGATTCTCCTTAAGAATAAATCATGATCACCTTTCGATTCTTCAACACTTGGTATTAATTTCCACTGCATGGACTGACAAGAATTTGAAGGATTCTAGTACCTTCTTCACTTTACTGGAAAGTTCTTCCTTCTTCTGGTGCGTTAATCTTTTCTTCTTGTCGATAGGTCATTTCAGCATTGAACGATTCTATCCGGCAGACTAGAAATAAATTTAGCGTTTACAGAAAGCGTGGAGGCTGCGAACTTGAACAAGATGACGTGGCATGGCAACGCAGCTGGAAGTAAACGGACAAAACAATGCCTATTATGAAAATACTGAATTATTGAAATATTCGGTGGGTATCCAAAAATACCTTCACAAACTACTTTTCAAAGTCTTGTTATCTTTCATTATCATGAACATGAAATTCAATGATATCATTATGCACCCTTTCATGTGAGAAAATTAATAGCGTTTCTTTTCCTGAGTGCTGCTTCACTTTGGCTCTGTAACACATCTACTCATTTACGTTGGAGAGAGATTGCTCTTGAAAAAGTAGCCTTTACCTTGCTAAAATCACTTTTTATGTAAGTGTATCAGTGTTTTGAAAAGTTTCAAAGGAGGAAGGAAGGATGTAATTAGAATGGCATTACAGTTCTGTTCTTTCAGATAACTGGAAAAAGTTTACAGGTTGTAGGACACACGACAGCAGGAATAAAGGACTTGATTGACCGAAGCTGCGAGCTGGATACAACTGAAGGAATTTAAGACTACAGTTTGTTTATTTGCTCTATATATGGGACTCAACTGTTATTACCTAGATGAAGTGAGAAGAAGCAGTTTCAAAAACATAATGGTTAATACAGAAGAAGTTAGATGCTCGTGTGATGTTTTTATTTCAGTTCAGAGTTTAGTTTGGCTAAAAATATTTCCAGCTTGACTGGTCTCCTTTCTCAGCGGACTGATTCCTCTCCAATTATCACTCCTTCAATTTTTATAATGTGACATGGATATATATCGCAAATAAGACTTCACTTAAAGTTGCAGAGATAGCTATTGTGCAATTACTGTATTAATCAAACACACTTTTTATTTCATGTCAAGTTTTTACACTTTAATAATTTTAATGGTATAGCTTCATTATACTTTGGGGCAGAAAACCTTAGACTAGAATATATTCTCCCCACAAGATTGTAAAAGTAATTACGGTGTCTCGCACGATGTGCACCCAGCGACCTGAACATTTTATCAAGTTATATTATTGTGGCTTTTATTTGTCAAAGCTTAAGAAAATTTAGAATACTTAAACCTTCAATCTCACTGGTCTGATCTTTACATTAAATGCATGATCAGTTGGTTGATAATTCTTATATATTATTTAGTGTGCTTCAGCTAGCACGCTTACTCTGGCGATACCTTACGAATATTAGACCCTGCATATGCAGTGACGCCTACTTCAATGAATAAGTTTGCCAAATACCATTTCAAAATAGTGTTACAGCTGTACTGTAGATAAATGCACAACTCGGGAAATAATTCTACTTCCTCTAAGAACAAAATACATCGCGAAAACTAGACTATATTTACCCACTGAATGTGATAGGGTTCTGCCTGGATAGCAAAATAGTTGTCTTCAAGCTGAGAACAATTATCAGAATACTGATTTATTTAAAATGGAATAAAAGTCTTAGAGAGTATTCATTACCTTAATTTACCATTCTTCGAGGAAGAGATATGATAAAGTTACAAGACGTATATAAGAATATGTTTCATATGTTTGTTGTTGTTTAAAGTTACAAGAATAACTCAAAGTGCAACTGTTTCCACAAGGGTTAATCTGTAATGAAAAAAACACATTGAAAGGCTCTTTTTCACTTTAGTTGCAACTCATCAGAATATCTAGATAATATCACGGATTTGTTTATAGTTTATCGTGTCAAACCTTTTACGGCTATTGACGTACGTACATTCTTCATGGTAAGACCGGATATTTCTTTGCTCCACGCCTTTAAAACGTGCATGTAGTTTTCAGGACTGTCTACGAGGATATTGATTACCATGGAATTCAAGCTGAACTTCAGAAAGCCTTATGGCTTTTCCTTCTCATTCGGAAACTTGAACTTCAGCTCTGTTAAAATAACGACTTGGCTGTTGATGATTTCATAGTTTTATTTGGTCAGATATCTAAAGACTACCGAATTGTTTACATTCTTGACAGTAAGACCGGATATTTCTTTGCAGTCGTCGCGTAACTCGTCAAAGATTATCTAATTTAATTCTGATAGTTCAAAGGATTTACATTTCATTGTGGGGAGGATATTTTATCATCCGTCTGAAATGAGGAGAAGGGTTTGAGATTGAGGGAAGGGAGAAGGGGGGTTGGAGTTCATGCGGCTGAAGGTGAAACACGATGTCAGCCTATCAGATAAATTCCTGTTGTATATCATTTTTTTCTTCTTCGTCGCAAATTTTTTCAAAATTATTATGTTAGATGAGGAGTATTGACGATGTATTCTATTATTCCTGTCCAGTATGGCAGAAGAACTCGTTCACGAGGATCTTTCTTTTAAAAAAGAAAATGACCAAGCAGTCATTATAAATGAAACCCTAACTTGGAGTGATCATGTTGATTACATCTCAACCAAAGTAAGTCAACGACTTGACATTCTCAGAAGGACCAAACATTTATTGCCAAAACACTACAGAGAACTTCTCTACAAATAAATGATCTTGCCTCTCTTGGATTATAGTGACATTGCGTGGGGGAGACAAACACAACAAAACTCTAATGGCTAAAGTCCAGTCATTGCAAAACAAAGCTGCAAAATCAATCCTTGATAAAGCAAAACATTCCTCCGCAACAGAGGTAATTAACGAACTCGATTTGGTAGTTTTATCAGAAAGGCGACGGCAACACCGTCTTTCTTTTGTATAGAAACACATGCAGGGGCTGATTGACTGGGAATTTTAATTAATGTTCTCAAGGGATACCCACCCTTGTAACACTAGGCACAAAGACAACTTCTCGGCGCTAGTGGGGGCAACAAAGACTAACTTATCAAGCGATTTTCGAATAGAATGCTCTCCCATTATCTACAAGGAACTCAAATAGCCTTGATTTATTTAAGAAGCTTATATAAACGATTATTTTTTATTTAATATTTTGTCAACTCTATCTTAGGACTTCACTGTTACTGTATGCTCTTTTAACTTTTAACAAATTTTTAAGCTACTGTATATTTATAATTTCTACTCAGGACCAGCTTGAAAACCACCAAAGGGTATGGTTTCCTCCTGGCTAAAGATACTTATTTCTTTATTTCTTTATTGTTGTTTGTGTGGAAATCACTGGTAATATGCAAAAATCTCGTCAGAGGTGAAGCGGATGCAATTCAAGATTTGCCACGGAAATGAAAGGCGTTGCCTATTCCCTTTACTCGTACACAAGCTTCTCAAGTCACAACCGTACCGTGTTCTGCAAACGAGGCATTTTTGTCTCACTTTACATCGCACTCACAAAAAAGGTTAGAGGAAGGGAAACAAAACCCCCACACAGTGAGTGGTTATGGCTATTGGTAATTTCCTGAGGAGAGGTTTAAGTGGATTGTTAAGGCCTCTCTGGTGGGTGTTCTTCAAGTGTTTTGACTGGTGGCGATTTCAACTGGATCCACAAGGTAACGTAGACAACCCATTCGCAATTACCCCTTAAAAAAGCCTTACAAAAGATAGAAAATCCTAAGAAATTGTGTTATATGCTTCTAAGATTGGCCTTTATGGTGCAAGTGATTGTTTAAAAATTACACCATATGAATTCGGTTTAGATTCATTGGGTTAAAACATGCTGAGATATCTTTCAACATTCGTTGTGTTGTATATTGCCCTTCATGATGCGAGTGATTGTTTAAAAATTACACCGTTTGAATTCGGTTTCGATTCATTGGGTTAAAACATGGATGCTGAGATATCTTTCAACATTCGTCAGTGAAGCTATTTAGAGAGAAGGATTCAAAACTAAGAATAAAAACGATTGTTGCGAAGACTTTGAGACTCTGCAGTAATGCTAAATATACAGCAGGATGTCCCTTCCTTCAGATTATCACTGGAAACAGTAAACAGTCTTGATTAGTGATATATATGCACAAAATATCCCATTTCAAGCTGAGCCAAACGAGTCAAGCAGAAAATTGAATCTAAGAGAGAAAGAAAAAGATATAATGAAACCCTTCTATATTCATCCAGATCAAAATACTTCCTTTTGTATAGCTTGATCTTGATTGTTTGAGACTGAAAGTTTCTTGGCGAACAACAGCTCTTCAATTTACATTTTACTAAAACATGTCACACTACAAACCAAAGATGGCGGCTGCTGAAAACCGAGTATCATGTGAAACTTTGCATATGTATGAACGTCAAGATATTTCTTAGTGTATCGAGGCTTTCGATGTTTGCTTTGGGGCACATCTCGCGTAGGCCGCTTGACTTTCTTGCTAATTGGAGCCTTTTGGAAAGGGTGAGCGGGGTCCATGTAAAATCGATCTAGATAATTTCACGATGTGTTTCACTTTTGGCCGACATTTAAACACAATTTTCCACTGAAGTATTGAGCAANTGGAAACGGTTTCTCAGACTGCATTCCGAACTATTCTAACTCGCAATGTTTGCAACACTCGTATTTATTCTGTACTAGCCTTTGGACCAAAACTTTCCCTATGTATTCCTGAACAGAAACAGAATCGCTGCCGAAACTCGAACGTCGAAATCATTTATGATGTATCTGGGTGACATTGCAGAATCATTTGCAACAGGGTGAGTTAGTGTGACGGTCGTGATAATAATATCAATGAAAAATAAGATATGAGTGGATAACGATCGAGTGAACATTCTCAGAAAGCGTAAGAGCTACTGACCGTAAACAAAGAGAATCCGCCGACAGTTGCAAAATTTCGTAGTTCATTTTAATTTCTCTAAAGTACCCTTTTAATGAAACCTTTTTCGAAAATTATATCAAAAAGTTCTATCGCGCTTTTTTTTCTCCGAAAAATCGGAAAGTTCAAAATACGCCTAAGTGGGTTTTGTCCCTCCCTTAAAGCAATGAAAAGTTATGCAACTTTGGCAACTTCGTACGCTACAGCGCAACGTAATCCCGCTTTTAAATTTTGTGTGCTAGCTTAGAAAATATTAATTTCTTGTTATGTTGTTATGTTCAAGTCTGAATAATGACCTGTTGAAATTAAGGACTTCGCGTCTCTTTCGCAGAGGTAAAATAGAAGTCAA